ACCAGACACTGGGGTGTTATGGTTAGCAGTTGCTATTTTGTATTTGATCTCTATTTTTATTTTGCTATACTCTATATAATTTGTTTAATCTAGCCCTGATAATTCAGAATAAGGTATTACTCATCAGTTTCTGTTATTGAAATTACTGAGTCTATTTCAAGAAACAAGTGTACATAATTTTAAAATACCATTTTTTCCCAACTTGTGTTCATAGTACACAAGGAGGAACATAAAGAAGATCATGTAGCTGCTCAGCAACATGATACAGGTTGGTATAATATTTGTCCATTCAAACTAGTACTTTGTATACAATAGCATTAGTAACTGTATGTGACCAAAGCTGCTGCTAAAATACATCAATATATATTCTGCTTTTATATTTATATGGTATAAGCAGAATTATTTTATAACAATGTTCATTTGAGTTACTTTTTATCAAGAAAATCACTATGTACACTAGAAGTTGTCCATGAACAGTAATATACAGCCTGAATGTAAATAGTAACAATTGGCAGTTGCCAATATAACTATTAAATATAACGATCTGTCTATGGATTGTTTGAATAAACCCAATTTTGGCAGAACGTTACCCTTCTTTGCCATGTATATTTGCACCATTTCATTTCTGAAAAAAGATTATTTTAGTAATCCTATAATGTTATAATAACATCTGCAAGCTTGTTTCATAATAATTGACTAAAAAACTTTGAATTACAGAAGTTCCTGTTCACGCAGAAGATTATACAGAGGATGATGTAATTGGTAAGTTACCTCTTCACATTCTTATCTTTAATTAGAAGTAACACTGTGCTCGTAAGACACATAAGACACATTTGAAATAAAACTCATAAGCAAATTTGAGGTTTGTTGCCAAAGTTAAATGGATAACGTTTTTTCTTGACAAATACAGAACCATAGAGTTTAGGAATTATTTTTCTTGGAGTAGAAAAAGCAATTAGAACAAGGCAATAATTGTCATTTTTATTGATATTGATCAATAAAATTGGTTGATTTTTTATGTATTTATAGCATTTTTTTATTCCTAAGAATCCTATATTTTTTCATTGTGTTTATTCAGATTAACAATTCAACATCTAATTTAATAACATCATTTAATAAAACAGATGGTGATACATTTTTAAAAATATTGATTAGTCTTTAAATAATGGAATAGATAAAACCATGTAATTTGAACAAAGGCCAGACATAAAGTCTTTGAATTGGACAAAAACTATATTAAAAATGAGATAATTATAAAATAGGATCATAGATACTATTAAACAGATGACACTGCAATAAAAAACACGTGTCTTTAGAAGAGTGTTAAGTTATGCTCATTTTTGGGAGCTACTGAGCTGCAATAGGAACTTTTCAAATCTTATGCCATAATAAATTTATACAGTATTTTAATTTTCAAAATACATTCCTAGAAAGCACATAGTTATTGATGTGGCATGCAACAGCCATATTTTATGAGATGTATAGCAAAATATGATATGGCGTAACTTATTATCTCTCCTATATTCACTGCACTTTTCCATCCACAATATAGCAAAATCACCTCAAATCTTCTACGTTTGTGGCTCCTATTAGTATGAATTCTAAGCAGTACTTTAACAAGGACAGACACGTTGCAGGGGAGTTTAATGTGTGTGATCGCATAGATAAATCCGGAATTATTTCCTATAAATTTAGCCTTTTACTAGGAAGTTGATTGCCAGAAAACAGGAAATGTGGCTTCATTTAAACAACCAGTTTTGCATGTTTTTCAAGATTGGAAAATATACTGAACTGAAATTCCAGAAGCCCCTTTCATTTTCTATATTCTTTCTCTACTACAAATTTTGAAGTTTCTATTTTTGAACTGAAAAGTATATTAATACTTATAGATCTACCAAGAACTGAAGTGAAATTGCTATTTAATCAGTTTTTTAATGTTGCATTTTTTCATGTGAGGCAAATAATGGCTTATAGAGTGTTGGTTGGAGTTTTTTATGTGTAATGTTCAGTTATTGTCTAAAAAAAGTCTACAAAAGGAATTATTTGTTTAATAGCATTATTTCTTTCAGTTTTAAAAATAGTTTAGTTTTACATGAGAAAATTTCATTGCATTTAATTTTAGCTAATATTCACACATAAATTTCAGTAGTAATAAGAATCTGGCAATTTTTATTCATCGTGGTATGGATTATCCATACTATTAAATAGTAACAGTTCAGTACAGGTAATGTTCTGTTTCAGGGTGATATGCCCCCACACATACTTACAGTATTCAAAGCTGGCAATGAATTTTAAACAGATAACAGTCAGATGTGTGAGACAAATGTCTAAGAGAGCTTGCCTGAACAGTCCAAAAAACAATAACATAGACAAATACATTCCAAGAGTCACAGGATGCCAAATTGGGTAGTTAGTTGGTCCAGTGGTCAATGTCGGGAACAAAAAGCAAGAACTAGAAAGTCAAACAAATGTCTCTAGCAAAGACTGCAAGCAAAGGGGCTAACTAAAGCTAGTTAACCAACTGGCTACAATTACACATGCCTTGCCCTTTTCTTAGTGAGAAGCCTCCTTGGGGAATGTTGCTTAGGTCATGTTAGGATTTGTCTAGACCTGAGGCTTGGAGATTGTGCCTCATCATCTGAGCGCTCCAGTTGAACAGGAGATCCCTATGGCTCATCAGCCTCCATTGAATCCTAGCTTCCTGATTCTTAAGACTGACCATCTTGAAGCAAAGGCTCAGCTGGAGAAATATTGTCAGATGCCAAGTGAAAATTGTTAAATCCTAATGTAAGTCTTCGACTTACGACCGGCCACAGGTCCTACTTACGAATGACAGCCGACTCCAGCTGAGCCATGCCTGATTGGCTAAGGTGCCACTGGCTGAGCGTGGGCTGTTTACACCATTCCTATTGGTCGCCCTGCTTGACAGCTCCTGTATAAATAGCTGTCAAGCAGGGCGAGGTGCTGAACTCTGTATATAGTTACCTGTTAGCTGGTTCTGTTAAATAAAGCTGTTCTTCGTTACCTCAGCCATCCCACATCTCTTCAATCAGCTCAGTCTTCAATAAAAGTCAAACTTTGAATCATGGCTATATAAGAGTCCTCATTTTGTGATCACAGCTGGGTTGGAACTGCTATGTGAAATAGTCACTAAGTGGTCAATTATATAGCCACAACTGTGCTTTCCTTTTCTTCACTTCCCTGCCCTTTGCAATGTTTCTCTCAGAAACAATGCTAGGATATCCACTTCAAAACTGACAAGACAATTAGTTTCACACCTTTTGCTTTTGTTTGCCTCCTAAATTTCCTGATCCTTTCGAATACTCACTCAGATGTTGATATAATTAATAAGAAAGGAATTAATGTTTATATTTGACATTTAGTGGAGAACAAGGGTTTACAAGAGAGTAAGCAGGTACATGATGAGGAATACACCTTGAAAACAATAGCAGGCAGCTGTGAACACACTCAGCAAATAGCCAGTATATTCACCATTGTTTGCCTGCTTATAATCTTGAAATCCCTTCCTCTCCAATATTTCCACTCTGCAAAGAGGGAGAGAATAAATCAGACGCAAGAGAATGCCTACAGAAATCACGTGTATTTTCTTGTCGTCCCCCCCCCCCAATGCAGATTTTGGCTGCATATATAAATTCCTTGTTTGTGTATATCTATCTTCTTGTAATCAAGAGCAAGAGTTTATAGAAAATAGCTATTAGGGTGTTATTAGTGGCTTCAAACTATGAAGTTGATGTTTATTTTTTCATTATATTTATTGTTGTAAGTAAACTTGATTTTTAAAAAAGTCTTACCATGTATATTCAATAACTATTGTATGGATTTACATACAGTATCTCTGAACAATAGAAAATGTCAAAATTTTGTTTTAAAAGATGTTCCTTTTATGGGTTAGTCAGGAAAACACAAAGTATTAATATATAATTAATAAAATATCTATATTAATTAATGTAGGTGTTTTAGGTATTCAGGTATACATGACTTAGTTTGCATTTTATAGCATAGCTCCTTTCCCCAATATAAATGCTGAGAAATATATCAGGGAGATGGTTCTTCTTAGGATTAGGACACAATCTGCTGGGACGCATATCTAGCTTGGCTATAGACTGGACAACTGCTTGAATGAATCTTACCTTCTTAACCAGATGTGAAGATGAGTTGATGTGAAAGCTTTGTGGACAGCTTATAGAGTAATTGATATGCATTTCAACAGTAGTTTTGATGATACAGGTCCTTCTACTGTATCTTATTTTGTTACAGTGTCTGAATATGAATGTTTAGTTCAACTGACTTATATTTGAAAATTAACTGGCACATGGATTTGTAGTTCCATTCTCATAATTTTTCTCAAAAGACTCCAGGAAATAAACTACTCATATTTAGTTTTAGTTTTTTTTTTTNAAGGCTGAGTCAACCTTGAGCCAGTGAGATTTGAACCGCTGAACTGCAGATAGCAGTCAGCTGAAGTGGCCTGCAGTACTGCACTCTAACCACTGTGCCACCTCAGCTCCTTACCAGCTGCAATGCTTACTTTTAACTCCTGCTAAAAAGCACAGCAGAAACAGGAAATTGTACATATTCTTACTTATTTAATATTGCATGATGACTATATATGTGTATTTTCTATATCCTGTATAGAGTAGAAAATATTGGAAACATCCATTAATTAAGGATTCTTATGTGGATGCATAACGTGAAATAAAACACATACATTAAATAAAAATATAAAATCTATAAAAATCTGATTTTGAATACATTGGTAAGCAAGAACATAATGAATAATATCTCTTGAACTACGTTTCAGGTGGAAATATAGTAATAAAATAGTTCAAACATCAATTATACAATGAACTGAAAACTCTACCTATAGCGTGCTTCCAGCTATAGCTTCATCCTTTTTAAAAGAAACTACTTTTGGAGAAAAAAATTGTTAGTTATGTTTTCCTAAAACTTCCATTTTCTTTGTTACAATAAATTTACAGAAACAATTGATCGTCCAGAACAAATACATGAACGTAAGTATAAATTGGTCATTTTTATTTCTGAAGATTTTAAGGCAATACCCTATGAGGAAATATTAATTTTTAGCTTTCATTTTCTGGTTACTGCCACCACATTTTAAAGCAAAGATTCACACAAACAAAATAGGTAAGTATTTTGTGTGGTCAAATACTTTCTGACGAACAAGATCCAAGTGATACTGGTTCGCAGGGCATTTGCTCCAGAAGAATCTAAATGGGGTTGCTTCACTGAAACACCACTTTTTCTGTATGTCAAGTGTGACATGTTAAAAAAAGGGGGGGCTTGAAACCACAGTTGCAGTTGTCATTATGACACTGTGATTATGTTCCTCAGAACATATGGAATATATAGTTTGAGCAAGATGGCTATTCCCTTGTATTCCCAGAGTCAAAGTTCTAATCACCCTTTTGTTGTGTGGAGCATTTGTGGACAACCTCAAGTGCTCTTTTTGTCCAAAGAAGATTACAAAGATCTAGTCTATTCACCAGTTCTTCATTCCTCTATAGTCATTCCCTCTGCTTTTAGTGGAGAATTCTTCTAGGTCACTACTGTATTTCTTCTCTGGAAATCCAGCCTCATGAAATTGAATAGGTTGTATTTTCAAGTAAGCATGCATGGAATAGAGTTTCACAAAATAAAATGAAGAATAAAATGAAGAATAAATGTTCCTTGAAAGTATTTGTGATTATTTCTTGTGAAAGAACATAGAACAAACCAAACATTTGGGGCATAGCACAAATTGCCATCCCATCCCTCCCTGATCTTTAAAATTAAACACTGTGGTACAAAAAAAGTATTCTTTCTCTTACCAGCAGTAGTTGATTTCTCAAAATGCTGAAATATTTGAACGCTTCAAGTTTAGAGAAATAAATGAAATATTCCTTTTTTAAAGGATTGTTGAATACACATTGAACTGAATAATCAACCTGACAGACACTGGTTTTCCTATTGTTATTTGTTGAAACCAAACTGAGATGAAAATTATTCCCAAACTTAAATATATTTTACATATATTAATAAAATATATTAACATATATCAGTAAAAAGGAAAACTATATTTTTATATTGTACTCTGTTATTTATAGTGCTTTTAAATGCTGTAACCTGAGATGCACAGCTTTATATCAAATAAATATGCAAATGTTACCATTAAGAGTATGGAAAAAGCCTTATTCATCACATTAGCCATTTTGGATGGCAAGGACATGACTTTATTCACTTCAGCAACAATCTAAAAAAATCATTGTTGAAATATGCCTTATTGTGCCCTATGAGTTTTCCATAATAATATATTAATAGAGATTTTATTGTTTCCTTAGGTGATGCAGATGTTTCAGATTCTGTTACTGAACCTGTTCAATCAGGTAGATATCCATGAATTATCTAAGATAAAAAGAACTGAAAAAGAAATTATTAATTATCATAAATATATGGTTGTTCATTTATATGCATTTTATACAAACAATTTTGGAATAAACAAATGCAGTATTGCAAGAAAGCTTCATCATATAATTTGGAACCAATTAATATAGTCCTTGACGTACCACCATAATGGAGCCTGCCTATTGCAATCATCAATGGTGACAGTTATAAAGCAGATTATCACATGCCCAAACCAATTATTAATTAATTTGTTTGATTATTCATTCATTCAATTTCTATAGCCATTCATCTAAGTCAGTAATTCTGGGCAGCTTACAATTCAAAAATATGTTACAATTGAAATGCTAAAATATTTTAAAACAATAAAAATAATAACTAAATAACTAAATACATGCATGCATGCATGCATGCATGCATGCATACATACATACATACATACATACATACA